ACTTTTTTTGCTTATCAACACGCAACCCCATCATGCAATTTCTTTCAAACTTGCCATTGTGTTTAAACACTGCACCATTTAGTTACCTCCACCTATAATATATCATGAGTCTACATTTAAAAGTGCCATTTTTTTTGTAGCCGTACAAATTTTCATGTGTTTATAATTGTTGGGAGGTTGTGTACAAGCATTACCAATTATACTGATAGATAGATAGATAGATAGATAGGCAAAAAATGAATATTTATAGTACCACCATAACTTCTTACCAACAATATTAATGTGCTTAGTTTACGTTTGTATATATAAAAAAAAAAAAAGAAAAAAAAATTTCCTGACATTTTGTCGGAAATTTTGAAACATACATTGTTCTTTTCAGAAACTTTGTGTGTTCTTCTTACTAAAACTGCGGCTAAGTTTGAAAATTTTGAATGTGTTTTACAAAGAGGGGCAAACTCTGCGTTTGGCAAGCAATAAAATCCTTGTGTACTTTGATTTATAATTTCAGTACTGCCCATTAGACAAAGAGTAAAAGCATATTTAGGGCCTTCAATTCGCTAATTTGAATTTTTAATTTGAGTTGAGATGTGATATTGTGTGAGAGTTTTTTACTGTAATAAAAAAGTTAAATATAACTGTTTCTGAAAGCCTTTTACTGTAACAAAACTCAAATTCTAAACTCGAATCAATGAAAAAAACAGAACATTTTTCAATATTTAATAGGAAATACTATTTTCAAAATGTCAAAGAGAAAAGATAACTTTGGAGATAAACATATATATAAATAAACACTTCTCTAAAGATCACAATGAAATCAGCAAATAAGAAACCTCTGAAGATAACCGAGGAGGGAAAAAGGACAAGTTAGAATGCTCTATTTGGCGGCAGAAAGTGTCCCTCAAAACTGACTCATACAATACGTAATAATATGACCTCAAAAAAAAAAAAAAACGTAATAATATGTTGCAAAAATTTAATCAAAAAAGAACTTTATATCAGAATTCAGAACCATAAGATTCACTGAGGGCTGTGTCAAATTTCAGGGTCAAACTAGCTTGCCAATGCTACATTGGAAACGCGTTCAAGATGCGTGTGTGTGCCACGCGCTTCAAAAATAACACTTTTTAAAACTTTTTCTGTTTTTCATGAGTGAGTATTCACCACGCATATAGGGAGAGATTGTGTTGACTACATTTTCTTAGTGACGAATTCACAATTTGGACTTTGAATTTTTTATTTTTTTTTATTTTTTTTGGTCTAAGTTAGAAATCCATTTAACATGATCATGGATTTAAGATTTTGCTTCTCAGGAAAACAAAAGGAAAAAAAAAATTGCAAATCGCTTTGATTGCTTCTTGTTTCATCATATGGTGTCTTTAAAGAATGCCCACTTCAAGACTCAATCTCTTTGACTCTCTCTCTCCCTCTCTCTCTCTCTCTCTCTCATATACACACTTTTCTCCCTATATAAATGCATGGCCTACTTCCCACTTTTCTCATGCACTTTCTTTCTCAGCTGATCTTGTGGTTGAGTGAAGGGTAGTAGTATGAGCATATTTTGGTTATGGTTTTGGGTGAGTACCTCTTGCTGGAGAAGCAGGGCACGTGCAATTGAGCCTGCATTAGAGGTGCTTGCACGTGCTCCCCTTCTCCAACATGGGTTCCTCACCCCTCTTATCTTTTAAGTCGGAATTTTCTAGAAAAATTGGATATGGATGGTAATGTTAAGGTAATATATATTTACTATGTTTCATATATGTACTATATTATATATACTATTTGTCTTTATCGCTCTCACTTCTCTGTTTAACCAGGCACGAGAAAATGGTAGTGTTGCTCTAATATATAACAAGGAGAATTCAAACTCTGATTTTTTTTTTTTGGGTTCAATATTTCTGTTAATTTGTTGGGGTACAGTTATAGTATATATGACATCTATATTTAGTTTACTGGTAACAAGATCATGTACAAGATTTGTGTGAGACTGACATATCTATGGACACGTACATTCTGTTTCTGCTTTGTAAGAGGCAGCATAGTAAAAGAAACTATGTGGCCTATATAGGTGATACATGAAAAGAACCCTACTTGGTCTCAAAATAATTTACTGTTAAGTCTGAAGTACAGGATTTCTTGGAATAATATTATACTTTTTCCTGGGATATATAGTCTCAATTGTAACTTTTTATTACAGAGGGAATTCTTGGGATTAATCTCCTTCGTTATGTAATAAGCTTTTGACCAGGATGATCCTTTGAAGTTGCTCACATATTTCTGCAAGACATGGGAAAACTTTTTTTTGTTGTTGTTTTTTTTGCTGATTTTCTCATGCCCTTGGGCCTTGTGAATAACTAGCTTAGACGTGATTTTACAGAGACACTATTTGGCAAATCAATCGTGTAATTCTTGTGTATATAAACATAATATCATGCTAATTTACATGCAAGTAAGATATATATAAAAGGAATATATACCTGCCTTAAAATATGGAAAAGAGAATTTATGATGTTAAAATTTCATTATTAAAAAAAAAAAGGTTTAGAAGAAAAGCTAGTGAAGCAATAGCAATACAGAAATTCTAATTCCATAATTAAATGCAACACCAACAACAGCAAAACCCCAACAATCAAAAAAACTTTGCAAAAACCCAACAAAGCTAAACTTTATTTTTTTTTTTTAAAAGCGAGGGTGTTAGTTGTTACAGTGACCAAAATAACATTGACCAATTAGGATGATGCAAAAAACTGTACTTTTGGAGTTGCATTTTTCTCTCAGCCTATGTTCTACAGTAATGCTATGGTGTTTGGCTAAATCGTACGGAGCATGCATTATAGGCTGAGGTGCAGAAGCAAACGCCACACAGGCACAGCGCGGGGGGGGGGGGGGGGGGGGGGGTGAGATTAGGTTCCGGCTGTTCCGTCGGGACTGAATGTCTCATTTTATTTACTTATTCATTTATATATTTTCCTCGCACATTTATTATTCATTTACTTATAACGTTTATTTCAAATTATATCCTATTGGGCCTTTCGCTCACGGTTTATGTTTTAAATGTATTAAACCCCTCCCAGGAGACTCTAGGAGCGGTGCCCAGTAGCTGGATATTGCTACGAAGCAGCTGAGTTGTGCTGCTGTTAGAATTAAGTGAGGATTGTGGTCATCCTCTGATACAAATGTAAGGAATTTGAGAAATTCTGTAAACTTATGTAATATTTGGACTAACTAGACTGTGGTTGACGTCTGTTGTAATGATTATTTACATGAACATGTATGTACGATACTGTATGTCCTGTGGAGTGGAGCCCTGTGTGTCAGAGACTCCTGAATTTTATAGTAATTTATTTATATTTTAATGTAGTTAAGTGTGAAGCTCAATCTAAAAATCTATTTTATTAATCTCTAATTAAGCTCCACGTCACTCATCTCATTTGAGGGACGTGACACTGGCGCTGCCACATTGAAGATGAACCTTAAATTGCAAGTAATGCCTTAAACACTAGAGAGGGTAAGGAATATATGAGGGTGTTTCCACACGCAATGCACAACTCTCGAGATTTGTTTGTGAGGGGAAAAAGAAAATATACGACAATGATTATGTCCCGTGCTGGGGGTATTTATACCTGGTCTACTCTCATTGGTCCACGTGGCGTTGTTGTGAAGGAGTGTGGTTTGGTTTAGTAGGCCATGATAAATGAATGTTTATTACCTTTTGCACTTCTGGGGTTTCTGTTATAATTTTTGGATAGAATCCATCCTCAAAGTTAATTTATAAAGAGAGGATATTTAAGTGATTATAAACTCATTAAGTTTATATTTTAATAATGTGTGACTCAATTAAAATCTTAATATATTATTACATTTTTAATATTGATATTTACGGTGACTCATTCTGGATGATCTATTCTGATCTTTTCAGGTCACCTCTCTTCGAGTTGCTCATTCCGCAACGTGGGCCTGAAGAGGAGCATGTTCTGATACCAATTGTTATAACTCTTGAGTAGAACTCATCCTCAAAAACTAATTTGTAGAGAGAAAGTACCCAAGTGATTATAAACCCACATATTAAGCTCATACTTTAATAATATGAGACTCAATCAGGATCCTAACAGTTTTATCCGGCTTTATTTCTGTTGATGTCTTTTATGCAGATTTGGACCAACTTTTTCTGCCTCTTTGAATAAGTTTGCGTTTGTTGTTAAAAGAAAAGAATTATTTGCCTGGCAGTTATTTAGTTACCATTAAGATATTGCAATAAGAGAAGCCTACTTAATTTGGTTCTGCTGTTGAATGAATCATTTGCTGCACACTGATGGATCGAGTACTGCCCTCAATGCTTCTCTTTTTCTTTTCTAATAAAAAGGGATCCATGGTGTCATCGTGAAACTGAAAATGGACCAACTTATGATTTCGTTAACAATTCCCAAAAGTTTATGCGTGTCATAATCAAACACATGGCCTACCTATTATAAAAGATTGAAGTCCAGATGTAAAAAATGGGACCTTAATGCTAGTTTCATTCGAATGGAAAAACACATCTAATTTCAAACCACAAGTACCTACAAATAATTAGATGCTTAGACTAAGACAAGTACGAGTGTTTTCGATGAAGCAGATGGAGAGAAATTAAAGACTTGTAAATTGTGATGCGTAATTTCTTGTTTCTTTTTTTAGTAAGAAAATAAGAGGAAAAGAGACTATGTTAGGAGAATAAACGAGTCATCTCAGCCACACTAAAGGCTAATAAAATTTGAGTCAATACAATAAAAATAATATCAAAACACTTTTTTGTAACTCGAATTTGAGACCTCACATCTATCAAACCACTTAAAAATAAGCTCAGTGTCCTTGAGATATCAACTTGGTGGTTCTTATTTGCATGTGTTGGGGCTTAGAAAACTCTATCATCTTAATTTAAGCTGAGAATATCTATTTTATAATGCACTAGAACATGATTCTCTATTTAATAATAATAAAAAAAAAAGCTTAAAGACACTTTAGGCACAAGATATTCATTCAAAAAAATCATTGCCCTGTTCACAAAAGCTAATCTTTCACTACAACAACATTTTCTTCAATGATCCATCACATCTGGGACCTCAATTGGGTACCTGTGGATAAAATCAGACCATGCATTGGAACTTTCTGGTTCAAGCTTTCTGATGCATTTCCAAACTGCACTATTACATTTAAGCCCACTCCCAAAAGCCAACTGCCAAAGTCTATCCCCTCTTTTCACCCTTCCCTTGGCTTCAAGATAACTAAGTGCATACCAAGTTGAAGCTGAAGATGTGTTCCCAAACTTGTACAATGTCATCCTTGAAGGCTCAATATCCCTCTCTCTCAACTTCAGCTTCTCCTTCATGGTCTCGATAACTGATTTCCCGCCTGAATGAATGCAGAAATGGTCAAAAGCCTTCTTGAAATCTGGCACATAAGGCCCTCTTTTCCTTGCAGGAGGCCAAATTCTCTTCCACACCACTGATAGAACATACCTGATTTGCTCTGAGTAGGGAAGTACTAACATAGCTAGTTTTGCCACATTAACTTTCAACGCTTCCCCGGCTAATTGCTGGAGTGATTTTGACAAGTTTACCCCAGTGATTCCCTCATTGTCTGGCTCTTGACTAATACATCTGTAGTAAATGTCCTCAGCCCCAATGTGGGTTCTCACTAGGTGTTTGAGCACATATTTTGCCACCCTTTTGTCCCTATATCGATTTGAGAGCAAAACCGCTGCGCCACCCATCCGAAACAAGCAGTTAGGGAGCAACATGGACTTGACCTTCCCACCGTAAATATTTGAACATACTGATTCCATGCTGAGGATCAAGGCCAGGGAGTTTCTGTGGATTTTGAGAAGGTCTTTAGCCAAAGAGACGGATAACAAACTAGCACTGCACCCCATGCCGGAGAGGTTGAAGCTGAGGATATTGCTTCTTAAGCCAAACTTGTTGATGATCATGGAAGCCAAAGAGGGAGTTGGGCAAACAACACTGCAGTTTGTGATGAGGATGTCAATGCTTTTCGGGTCGATTTTGCGCTCGGTGAAGAGGCTTTGGACAACTGAGAAGAGCACCATTTGGACTTCTTCTAGTGTTGAATTCAGTGACTGGTCGTTTGGCAATAGGTGGATACCTGTTGGGAAGTAGCTTTCACTTCCTATGCCTGATCTTTCCAAGACTTTGGCCTGGAATTCGACGTTCTCAGGGCTGAATTTCTCCCATCTTTCTATGTGTTCTTGGAAGGAAGATGTTGGAACTCGGTTGGTATCGGGTGGCCTATAACACACGAAGTCGATGCGGTAAACGTGTTTTGATTTGTAGAATAGGTACAATATTGCAGTGGCAATGATCAAAGTGGCTGCAAGGATCTTGAAATGGGTAAAGAGAATTAGGAGCTTGGAGAGGCTAAGTTGTTCTAAAACGGAAAGATCAATGTCAAGAATTGACATTTTAGGTGGCTCTTCTGTTAGTTTATTGTAATGAATAACTTTACATAAGCATGGTTAATATGGTGATTAGGCTATGTAAAGACGAGAAGGGTGTGACTTTGTTTAGGCAAAACCAACGGATGGTTAGTAGGCTCATGCCAAGAAAGTGTACGGGAACATGTACATTTGGTTGTAAACTTTTTCTTTTGTTATTTCTTTCTTGAAAAAGAGCAATTCATTAGCTTGTAAGTTTGTAACAAACTAATTTAATGGGGGGAAAAAAAAAGGTTCAGATAATTTCTCAGAAAAAATAGGACATGAAACGGTACAATTTGTATTTTTCAAAGGTGACTTCATATATAATTACCTAATCAATTCATGCAAGAAAGTTGAATTGTTAACTGTGCGTGTTAAACCTACATTTTTAAAGTCTTACCAAGGCAATGTGGTACGTTGGTTCACTTATGGGCAGAGGATTTGAACATTGTATCTTATAATGAAAGCAGGTTTACTTGACACTAAACTACACCTGCAACCACCTTTTTTTTTTTAAAAGTATATTAATTTATCTTTTGATTTGTTAAACTAGATAAATAAATTGAGCCAACGGTTAAGCTTCAAAACTGCCTGTTGAGGAACTAACAAAATTTGGCCTGTTGATTATGAATTATGTGTGCTTGAAGAAGTAAAGTAACATTGTTTTGACTTCACACATCAAACTAACTGAATCACAAGTCATAAAGCAAGCCAGCAAGATTTCATCACTAGAGAATAAAAAGCCTGGAAGAAATTCACGCTCAAACATTCTGAAGTATTTTCATCCAACAACAGCAATATTTCAAAATCTCTAATTTAATAAACAAAATTGTGAAGTAGACTAGTTTCAATAAAAAGCACCGTCACATTGGCAAAACTAAAGGAACTTCCAACTAGACAACAAGAAAATCAAGTGCTTTGACAAATAAAACATTGCAGAGTTTTTAATCTTCCTCCTCGCCCTCGTTCTCTGCAATGTTGAAGTACCTCAGTTCATAAACATTTCGGTCCTTGTTGGACGCAATCACTCGGAGCCAATCACGTACATTGTGCTTCTTCAAATACTTCTTTGTCAAGTACTTCAAATACCTGAATAACAAAGCGAAGAAAACAGGTAAGAAACCGCAGAATTAAAGATTAGAAATGAACTTAACCAACAACAGATTTTAGGTCAGTACCAACATGCATAAAATAATATAAACTGGGAAATGTCACATGACGTTAAATACATAGAAGACCAGCACACTCCCATACAACCTCAATATGGTAAAAGCTACAAAAAGAACATACCAATATGAGGCCATTTGCATACCAATATACCACAAAACTAAAGGGTGTTGTACTTATACGACAAGATTGCCCTGGCCATTATCTTGGAAAGTAACTTCAGGTGCAAAAGTAAAAGAACATACAAATATGAGGCCATTTGCATACCAATATACCACAAAACTAAAGGGTGTTGTACTTATACGACAAGATTGCCCTGGCCATTATCTTGGAAAGTAACTTCATGTGCAAAAGTAAAAGAACATACAAATATGAGGCCATTTGCATACCAATATACCACAAAACTAAAGGGTGTTGTACTTATATGACAAGATTGCCCTAGCCATTATCTTGGACAGTAACTTCAGGTGCAAAAGTCTTCGGCCGAGAAAGATCGTGTCAAGCAATCAGAGTTTAAATTTATGAACTTTTAACACAAAAGTAAATCTCATTCAACAGTCTTGCATTTCAATTGACAGCTCTAATTTCTAACCCAAGAGAATAAAGTACACAGTACCAAAAAAAAACAAAAAGATTCAATAAGAGCAACATGTCAATAGCTGTTCTAGGCAAACTAGGATGTCAATAAATGAATCTCCACAAACTCTACAAGCTTAACACAACGAGATCAATACTATTCCGGTACTCCCACAAACAAATCACAAATTATAACAAAAAATCACCTCTTGGAGAAGGTACTTTCAGAAGTAACAGTAATCTTGCTCTTCTCGCGGGTAACAGTGACCGTGTCACCAAGAGCACCGGCCTTGCCTCCAACCTTAATCCTCTCCTGAAGAAACTTCTCGAGGGACGCAATATCCATGATCTTGTCCTCCACCGGCTTCCCGCAATCAATGGTGAATGTTGCTCCCTTCTTCTTCCCCTTGGGAGCCGCTGCACTTCCTCGACTCATCTTCGGTTTGTTCTTAACAACCCAAACAAAGTAAATATCCCATTTAGAATCACCAAAAACTAACTAAACCAGCCAAATTCCATAATGTCCCTAGCTAAATCATATTCTGGATAAAGCAACGATTTCATGGAAAGAATTTTAATAGCAGAACCACATATTGGAATATCCATTTCCATTTTCAAGAGTATTATAACAAACATTTATTTATTTATTTTATTGGAATTATCCTGCTGAGAAAATACAGGAAAAAAAAAAAGGAATACCAAAGAATGTTAATCCTAATTAAATTTGATTGAAGCAGAACTCATTGATTCACCTTATCAAAAATAATAACATAATATTAACAAAATACAAAAAAGATCCTACATCTTTATCTTTATCTTTCTCTACTTGTTCTTCACCTCGCTTTCTCATAAACCAAGGAGAAATAGAGAGAACCGATATGAAAATCCAAGCTTTTATTTGAACAGAAAAATGCAAATTGACAAATAAAGCTCGGTTCTTTTCTCTTTCGCAGTTTCACGGCAACCAAACAGAATAAGAAGTAGATAGTAAAAACTTACAATTGTAGAAGACGAGAGAGATAAACAGAAAGAAATAAAGAAAGAAAGAGAGAAATTTACCGGTGGACGGGCACAGAGGAAATCGGGTGAAACAGAGAGGTGGGAGCTGCGCGGCGTCTGAGAAGAAATACCAGTTAGGGTTTTGGTTTTTATAAGGGCTTCAATTTTTTATATTTTCCTCTACTGGACCCTAACTTTGGTCTATTATCTTTTCACGGATTCCACGGGTCCTGTTTTATTTTTCTTTTCTATCGCTCTTAATTCACTTTGATAAATAATAAATTCCACCCAAGCTTATGCCACTTTTTCACTTTGCCCCACAAGTTTGAAAAATTATCTTCCACTTCCCTTAAACTTCAAATTTGTTAGCAAATTTGCCCCCTTAGCGACTTAAGTCTTGTTCATTTCACATTCAAATTTCAGTTTTATTACAGTTAAAAGTTCTCACAAAAAGTCACATCTAACTTTTTACTACAGTTAAAAGTTCTCAAATAAAGTTACATCTCAACTTGAATTGAAAATTTAAATCGGCGAACTGAATGATGTCTTAGATGAAGGGAAAATCTAGCATGCATTTTGCTAATTTTGAAAGTAAAGGCCGTGTTTGGAGTTAGTTTTGTTTTTGTTTTTCTCATTTTTTGAGAAAGAAAAAATAAAAATGAGAGAGAAACGGCGTTTGGTACAATTAAAGATAAAAAACAGAAATGAAAACGATTTTTTAGTTTAGTGTAAAATGGGAAAGAAATGAAAAATAACTTTTAGTTATTTTTCATTTTTTGTTTCTGTTTTCTCCTCTCTCGAGCACACAGAGAGAGAGACATTAATTGATTTTTTTATACTGAAAATAATCTTTTGATAAAACTACCAAATGCATTTTAAAAAATAATTTCTGTCTGAGATTGAAAATATTTTCATTTCTATTTTCATACAAAAAAATAAAATCATTTTAGAACGACTTCTAAACACACCAAAAAATTTTATAAATTCCCATGAACTCAGGTCACTTTTTTCACTTTGGCCCACAACTTCAAAATGTTAGCAAGATTTACTCCTAAAAAGTAAAAATTAAAACTGGGTTGTGTGGGTAGGAGTCGTGACTTGATAGGACACAAGAGGAGCTGGAGTCCTGAGCCATCCCACTCCCACAACTCCCTATCACGAACCACCAATGTTCCCTCGCGACCCGGCTTTAAATTTTCTTTTAGGAGTAACCATTGTTTATATGTCATGCATTATTATTTGTTTAGGTTTAGGTTTCATAGCTATTGTCAGGGATCACGTTGACCTCTATCGTTTTTGCTACGCCATACATCTTCCCTTGCAAAGTTGCTCCGTCTCAAGGAGAGGATTTTGTGGTTACATCATTATCTAGGTTGCGATGGGAGACTACCAGTAACCCAGTGAGTCACCGTCAATGACACGCACAGACTAGAGACTACCACCCACACCTGACTACTGAATGTAACTTTGCCATGATGTATTGTTTTTGTGGCTAGAACACGATAAAATTAGGACTGATAATCTGGGTAGCGATATGATGATACGATTCGAAACTCGTACAAAATTAGCGGGTTTAAGTTTATTATAAATGGATTTGGGTCATAATCGGATTGACACGATTAATATGATTAATAAATTGCTTGGGTAAGGGTTGACCTCATAACACGAAGTGACACGATTAACTATATGTGTCATCTGTAATCTAATGATATGTGATAAACATGAAAGTTTATATGACATATTAAATACAAATAATGTGAATTTTAATATTTGTAGGTAAAATTCATATATTTTTCTTAAAGAAAAAGATAAATTGACTAATAAACATGTTAAACATGTCATGACCATATTAAATAAGTCATCATTATATTAGTTATTTATTCAATATATTAATTTAAACGGGTTATACGGGTTGACACGATTAACACGTTTAATAAATGAGTCGTGCTTGGGCTGACATTTTTGACACGTTTAATAAACAGGTCGTGTTTGGATTAATATTTTTAACACGTTTAATAAATAGATCGTGTTTAGATTGATATATTCTGACACGATTAATAAACGGATTGACAAAAATACGACCCACTAACACAAACTGTCACCCTTAAATAAAATGACGTATTTCAACTTTCCCCCGTGGCATTTTCGTGTAAAAAAAAAAATGGTACAACAAATACCAATAGATGTGAACGTCCCTTGGCATTGCGAACAAAAGCCACGCCTCAATGACTTGTATTTTGTGGCATTTTTGCCGGCCCCAACAAATATTGCACTTCATCTCCTTTGCAAGAATTATAGCACAAATTCAGCCGAAAAAAAAAGGGAATTATAGCACAAAATTTAGGACCTTATTACTTAATTTGTTTAGCAAGTATCTTCTGCATGGTATGTCTTGATACTATGAACTTGTGTTAAATTATGCATAGATCACGACGTATCCAACCTTGACTAAAAGAAGTATTATATAGTTGTGCACATAATTGAATATAATTACATTGTATAAAAAAAGCACTTTGTTTGATTTCTTTTTCTTTTTCTCCAAAAAAAAAAAAAAATTACATCTTATACTCGGAATACTCGGAGACGTGTATAAACCAATAACAATAATAATAATAATAATAATAATAATAATAATAATCTCTTGCAAACTTTTAAGTAACTCCATCAATCAACAATGAGATAAATTTCTCATTTTAGACTCTTTTTTAAAAGTGCATTTTGCACTTTTTATTTTTGCTATTTTGCTCTTTGTTAACCATCTATAGCCTAAAATCTAGCATACCAATTACTATATGTTTTTTATATTCTTCGCATTAATTTTATGGTCTGGGGATGAGATCCGATCTTTTTTCTCTGATTGTGTTGCATAATAATATAGTTGGCGAGACTACAAGCTTTTCCAATCCTGGTTTATAAATATTTTGAACTTTTTCTCTTATCGTTTTTCATCCAAGCTACCTAAATTAGAATTGATATAGAGAATTCAATCTTCCAGTACTGGTCAAACATATGTAGTTCATAGTTGTAAAAGTACTTCAAAGATCAAACCCTTGAGTGCTGGAACAAAAACGTTTTAACTTGCAATAAGAATAATTAAGATCATATTTCTTTTGGGATAGATCATAACATATTGTTTTATTTCTGTTCCCAACTGGTTGTAGATTTCAAAGATATGAGCTTATGCAGAGGAAAAAACGTCTTCAACTAAACAAATAGCCTTGCGTTTGCTGGAAGTAAAGGTACTGCCAAAATTATAAATCCACGAAATTACTGCAAAATTTGAAAATTTATTGCCATCATTTTGTCTTATTACGGGGAGGCAGTTTTGCATTTGGTTTACACAAGCAACATACTACTAAATAACTCGTGCATTCAGACCATATATACGTCTATTTGTATATTCAAAATGTAATATATTCCCCAATTTGCAAGTCAAATCAACTCTTCACGTCATCGAAATAAAAGCAAAAGGTAAAATCACAAGTGATCAGTTCCTAGGGCCACAACTAGTCCGTCCATGGAACCGCAACTATTCGCTTATGCAAACTAATTTGTGGAACCATAGTGACGGCATATGCCCCAGTTTGCGGTGTACAAACTGATTGACCTGTGTGAGCTGATCAGTGCAATGTTGATCATAATCATATGGCCATCTTGGTATGATGCAACACAAGGACTTAGATTTTGTTCGTTAACTTTTTAGTGCTAAATACAGCATTGGCATTCGCATTAGCGTCTAATGATACTCTCAACAGCAGCAGTTCTACTTATTTCCCCCACCTACAGCTAATCATATAATCTACCTAGTCCTAGTGCTTGCCCTGAGCATTGCGAGGTGGACTGCGTTACATGTAGTCCCGTTTGTAGTAAGTTCCTAAAAACTCATTTTTGTCACACTTGCCTTCTTATTATTTGCTTCGTAGTTGTACTGATATTATACCTACCTAGTTTGTTCATTATAAACCCTTTATTTTATTAACATTTTTAATGGCAGGAATGGCTATTGTTTCAAATTTTGTTGCTTTACGTTCAGTAGCTTTAAAAGTTGCAATTTGAAAACTGGACAACATTGCTCGAGTAATATTGTTATAATAACTCACCAGCTTCCTTGTTACTCTTCTATTGCTAACTTACAGCCTTGTTTTTTTTTCCGACTCGACTATCATTCTATTGTAAAATATCCTTCTTCTAGTTTTGTTGTCAATTCCACTTTTATTGATCTTTCTACTTACTATTTAGATTTAGATACTTTCATTGCCGTACCCTTTCTATGGTTGGATCTCTTGCTTTTCGTGTCGTTTTTATAATCGTCGATCGATGGAATTCAATTGTTGTTTTATTCTTAAATTGTCGTTTCCACCGTTTTTGTCGTTCCCCACTTTCATCAAACAATTTTTGTTGTAGTACGCCTTGATTGTATAATGTATCTGTTACTTTTAGCGTTGTGTACTTTGTGTTGGGGACTACCTGACTAATATTACACATTCTATTGTTTTGTCCTATAATTTTGCAGTCGCTGAAACTATTATTGTCGTTTTAAAGGTTGTTATTTATTTATTTATTTATTTATTTAGGCCTCATTCATTTCACCATTTAAGTTTTTAATTTTAAGTTTTTACAATAAAAAATTTTTAAAAAATATCATATTTAATTTTTTCTGTTACAATAAAAAACTATTAAAAAATATCACATCTCAACTCAAATTAAAAACTTAAATCTGCAAAATGAACGAGGCCTTACATTCTCTTATGCCAGTATGTTGGCGTTTCATAACTACTTCGTTCCCCTGAAACTTTTATTGTCGTTTTCCGACTGAATCCATAATCTCCGCGTGCAGGCTGCAACAGGCCCGGCGCCGTGTGCCACGACCCTCGATTCGTGGGCGGCGACGGGATCACCTTCTACTTCCACGGCAAGAAGGACGCCGACTTCTGTCTGGTCTCCGACCCCAACCTCCAGATCAACGCCCACTTCATCGGCAAACGCAATCCCAACCTCACCCGCGACTTCACCTGGGTCCAATCCCTCGGAATCCTCTTCCACCGCCACAAGCTCTTCCTCGCCGCACAAAAAACCTCCATCTGGAACGACGCCGTCGACCGCCTCTCCCTCTCCCTCGACGGCGACTCCATACCCCTCCCCGCCAGCGACTGCACCACGTGGCGGTCGCAGAACTCGCCGCATCAAATCATCGTCTCGAGCAGCGGGACGGCGAACTCGGTGGAGGTAGAGGTCGAAGGGATATTCAGGATTAGAGCGAGGGTGGCTCCGATCACGGAGAAGGAGTCGCGGATCCATAACTACGGCGTCACGGAGGAGGATTGCTTGGCGCATTTGGATCTGAGCTTTAGGTTTTATCCGCTGAGTGGTAATGTTGAGGGCGTCTTGGGAAGGACTTATGGGAGGAACTACGTGAGCAGGGTGAAGATGGGAGTGGCGATGCCGGTTGTCGGCAGAGACAGGGACTTTGCGGCGTCGAGTCTGTTCGCGGCGGATTGCGCGGTGGCGAGATTCGGGAACGGAGATGATGGGAGTGTTTTGGAGGAGTTTGGGGACCTCAACTGTGCTACTACTGGAATTGATGGTCGTGGTGTTGTGTGTAAGAGGTGATGAAAAATAAAGCATAGTAATTTGGCACATATAATTTTTAGGGCGTAAAAACTTTAAATTTGAAAACTCAAATCGGTAAAATGAACGAGATTTCTGTAAAATAAACGAGATTTTAACTTATTTGATACGTGACAGTTTAGTTTTTATTTTTTAAAATTTTAGCAGAACACTCTTTAACCTTCTTAAAAAGGAGCAATTCACACATTTCTAGCTACATCTGTTAATTTTTTACAGAATATTCCACGTGATCCTCTTCTTCTGATTTAAAATAACACTGAAAATATAATTTTGCCTATGTTTGTAATCGGAAGGGTTAAAGAAATCAAAACTGAAAATAATAATTAAAAAAAACAAAAAAAAGGTTAGATTTTCTAAAGGCCACTAACAATTTTGAAACGGAAACCACCCCTGTTCAATGCCCAATAATCAGTAAATTCATTGTCGAAATAAGCTATGTTATATACAATCTCAATCTCATGGAGTCCATAGTAATCAATCGTAATGATCAATATTTGAATTATCAAAAGGCTTTGAAGGTTAAGTAAGATCCGAGACTAACCGTTTACGAAATATAAAAACTGCGGGATCGTTGGGATCGTTGATCTCGGTCCAGTGAAGTTGTCGGGATCATTGGGGTCACTGTCAGAGTGGATATTGGGTAGGATTTAGTTGGTCTCCTCGATGATCACACGGTTGGCGGTGTCGTTTTCGGTGCCGGCGAGGTTTCCGACGCCAATTGTATCATGAAGGACGAGGATGGCGACGAAGCCATAGAGGATGGTAATCCAGATATTGTTGAAGGTCTTCTAGATTTGGGTGCCACAAGGTAAGGCGACGCCAAATCGTCTGTCGTTGGGGGCTGAAAAAGCGCCGTCACCGGAAGAAAAATCCTCCCTGTCCTTTTCTAAGCTCAGAAGCTCTTTTGCCCCATCTCTCTCTCCAAAAATTCAAAGCTTCGACCTTTTGGCAGTGAAGAAGGAATAATGAGTGTGTAGGAGGTTTGGTAATGGGAAGATCTAAGATTGGGTTTGGCCTGGGAAGTGGTGGATTCGGTAAAAGGAAGATCGAAGTGTTGGATTTGGCATGGAAGGTGGTGTTATCAATAGTCCTTTTTTACAATTATATCCTTATTAAGAAGGCCATGTGAACAGTCACATGGAATGTTCTGTGAAAAGATTAACAGATGTGGATGGAAAGGTGTGAATTGCACATCTTTAAAAATGTTAAGGGTTGTTCTATCAAAATTAAAAAA